CTGTCAAGTGGGTTGCATCCTTGACGTAAGAAACAGCTTTAGAAACGATAGCAGAGCAAGATCTGCCACCGGCTCAACGGTCCGCAAGGGCTATGGGGAAAAAAAATGCTGAATGAATAAAGAAATAATTATGTTTCTCATTTTCTAGAGGGGGCCAGTGCCCCCTCTTGTCTCCCCATGCGGACGCACATGGATAGACGGTTTGACACCATTCTTCATCATAGTTTTTGTTTTGAGAATACCAAAGAAATGAAAGTCACGAACTTGGAGATCAATATTATAATCGGTATGGAAAAGTACTGTACTTTAAAACGCAATTTACATGTGATGCCGCTAGTAGAGGAATGGTAATGACCAATAGAGACAGTACAATTTATATGTGATGCCGCTAGCAGAGGAATGGTAATGACCAATAGAGACAGTACAATTTATATGTGATGCCGCTAGCAGAGGAATGGTAATAATCATTAGAGAAAATACAATTTACATGTGATGCCGCTAGCAGAGGAATGGTAATGACCAATAGAGACAGTACAATTTACATGTGATGCCGCTAGCAGAGGAATGGTAATGACGAATAGAGACAATACAATTTACATGTGATGCCGCTAGCAGAAGAATGGTAATGACCAATAGAGACAATACAATTTACATGTGATGCCGCTAGCAGAGGAATGGTAATGACCAATAGAGACAATACAATTTACATGTGATGCCGCTAGCAGAAGAATGGTAATGACCAATTGAGACAATACACGTTGGGCAACAGTATGTAGCGCCTGGGAAAGAAAATTCCCTTTCTCTCTGAACACCTCTAGTATCTTAAAATGTCTAGAAATGCAAATCTCACCGTTAGTGTTCCACCAGTTATCACACGAGCTCCAGGGAAGTTGGCTAGTGAAGGAAGATACAAGGTAGAACAAAGACCAGGCCAGAATCATGTTGTAGTAGATACCAACCAGGAAAGAAATCAAAACCATGGCGTATCCTAGGCCTGAGGATATATACATAAAACGACTTGGTAATTAAAACATATCAACAAAGCTAAGAAAGTAATATATTTACTAACCTGTAAAGTTATCTATGACACCAGAAAAAGAGTAAATTACAAGCTTTAACACTTGAAGTCGAAATCTATGTATTGTTTGTACAAATAAAGCTTTGTGAAGAAAGTACTATATGATTTAATTTCTGCAAACAAATAATTTTCCTTACAAATTCAACCATTAGCAGAAAATGTATAAAATTATCTGTATTTCTTTAAACAACCACTCGACTAGGGGAAACAAACAATTACATGTAGTCATTTTTGTTAGATTTACAAAACCCATAGAGGTTAGTAGAATGTAAATATTGTAAGACTGTATAAGATTATCTGGGTTAAAACTAGAGTGTGATGAGAATTTTGCTCACAGAACATTTTATACAAGCTGAGGTACCAGACCTTTGTCCGGGTTACGAACTTTAATGCTTAAAAATGTTATGATAAATAACACAAAAATCCTAATTTTCACAAAATTTATTTATAACATAACATATTATTACAGTATTAATTATTATATCACCCAAAGTTTTGTATGAACTTTAAGAACTCAATATGTATATACTTAAAACATGGTATACACTATGCAGTGATCAGGATGACTTTGTATTAAGAGGTAGCGGCTAAAGTAGTGGCGGTAAGTGTGCTTTCTATTACCCGCTTTCAACACCCAGCTCTTAATGTCCTTCCACAGTGTTTTAAGTGACTCATCAATTGACAGCCATTTCCCGCAGAAGTATCTTACGGGACAAAATTGAAAGATCACGGTCAAAGCCTTATGGTGGTTGTTGGAGTATAAACTTCAGCTGAGTTTATGCATTATTGCAATAGTGCGGTCATTGTTTTTCATTGCATTCCTCCATAGAGAGAGTGCTATTGCATTTTCTAAGATATATAAGACGTTCATGTACCTCACACACACGCACACACACACTTTGTGTATGTTGCTTATAGGAAATTTAATAAGTTTTTGTGTAAGGACGTGACGTCATGTATTAATGTAGTTTACGTTAACTTACGTCACGGATAATAAATGCTTAATAACAGCAGTAATGGAGATAGAGGGGGTTGTTAACCCCTCATTAGTATGCCCCTTTTTTAAACTATCGTCTCACAAGGTTTGGTTGAGATTGGCCCAACAACAGAGAAGTAGTTAGATAACGAACATACAGACAGAAACACATATTTTTGTGCTTTATATATAGAGAGAGGGAAATAAAGTTGGTGTAGTTAAACAAAGAGGAGAAGTGGATTTTATGTACGCTGACGAAATTTATATGACCTTACCTTGAAATACTGGGGCTATTTTCCATATTGTAACTGGCCCTTCACTGGCAAACTGGCCAAAAGCCAACTCTAAGAAGAACAGTGGTAAGCCCACGAAAGACAACATAATGGTGTATGGAATAAGGAAAGCACCTGAAATATAAAGTTTTAATGTAAAAACTGATCATAGAAGAAACATGTCATATACCAGATTTCTAGGAAATTTAGCTACACTTTTCGGTTAGATAAAATATTTCAATGTAAAAATGTCAAAACTGATTAGAAAGAGTTTCAAATACAATAATTTAAGAAGGGTCAAGGTTCATCCAATTTAACAGAAGGATGTAATAACACCACCGTGACTATATACAGGACGAACCTTTGACCAGATCTGTGGTACCTGGCGTTACCACAGTTGTTACAAATTTTGGAAATGTTGCCATTCACATGTTTCTTAAACACTCTCACATCACAATAAGAACAACAGTTTCATATCTGTTTTAAATGTAGAGAAATTCTTTATCAAAATGTTGTAAAATAATTTATCTTCTGCTTTTTACGAGACAAATCATATAGTAAAGAATCAAAGAGCGACACGAAACGAAGTTCGAATGATAAATATTAACATGAACAATAATTTGACAACTGTAGAACATACATTAAATATTTTTGGCCCTCATTCTATATTCATTCTTCTACTTGTTCCAGACATAATAAAAAGGGGGCCAAGTGTTCCCCATAATTTTTTTAAACTTAGTGACGTTCATAACACATATTTATAACTTTGTCTTTTTTGTATAGCTTGTCTCTTTCTTACATCGTATTTTATCCCCTTATATTCTAACATAGGTTTCTCTGTTTTGATACGATTTAACTTACCAAATACAATACAGAATTTACTGGTGTTATTAACTTATAATAAAATGTTACAACACTTATGATAACGTAGTGTTTAGGTGTTGTATTCATCATACTATAGTGTCATAATACAGTATTATGTATTGTATTTGTCACACTACAGTGTATTATGATGTAGTGTATTTACCATACTACAGTGTGTCACAACGTAGTGTTATGTAGTGTATTTATCATACTATAGTGTCATAATACAGTATTATGTAGTGTATTTGTCATATTACATTATTTCATGATGTATTGTTACATAGTCTGTTTATCATACTATAGTGTGCCATGATGTAGTGTTATTTAATGTATAGCCCTCCAGTGGCACAGCTGTATGTCTGCGGACTTACAACGCTAGAAACTGGGTTTAGATACCCGTGGTGGGCAGAGCACAGATAGCCCATTGTCTAGCTTTGTGCTTAATAACAAACAAACAATTTAATGTATATCTCATATTATAGTAGTGCTATATATTGTATATGTCATAATATAGTGTTGTGAGATAACGAATTCTACTTTTATTTTGTTATGGTTTTATTTAGCATTCACTTGTTATTTCTTGTATTGTCTAACTTAACTATGTGTTTTTAGTTATATTAAAGCGCTAACTTACCTTCTCGCTAGAGCACGTTGATTTTGACACAAGCTTTCCTCTAGCGGTGACGTACAGATATTAATGTTGTGAAAGATTGGGTAAAATACCTAGGCATATGAGATGTAACCTCGTGATCTAAACACTAAATAAAAACTAAAAACGAGTTAGTTCACGAGATATAATTAGAATGAGTTATTGCAGATTGTTCCTTGATATTGTTACTGATCTTGAGAAATTGTATAATTTTGGAATAGTGTGTTGTTTTTTTCGGAATTAGGTTATTTTCTTCTGATTCTTTTTTTTTCCTAATTCCTTTATTTCTTGAAATTAGTAACGTTAAAATTTATGTTGTATTGTTTATTAAAGTTTGTGTTTAGTCCTGGCCAGACACGGATTTAATAGATTTTTATATTATTTTATTTTTTGTAAGTGATAAACGTTGTAGCTTGAAAGTTGTATTTTGGATTTCTGTTATATTTTAATGAATTATTTTTGTTAAACCCTGGTTTTAGCGGCCTTTTGTTTAAATCCGTTACAGTGTGCCATAATGCAGTGTTTATGGAGAGTATTTGTCGTAGTGTAGTGTGTCATAATATAGTATTTATGGAGAGTACTTTTCGTAGTATAGTGTTTATGGGGAGTATTTGTGGCAGTGTAATGTGTCAGAGTATAGTGTTTATGTAGAGTTTTTGTCATAATGCAGTGCATATGAAAAGTATTTGTCATACTTTAGTGCCATAGTGTAGTTTATATGGAGAGTATTTGTCATACTGTAGTGTGTCATAGTGTAGTGTTTATAGATAGTATTTGTCATAATTTATGTAGTGTTTATAGAGATAATTTGTCATACTGTAGTGTGTTATAGTGTAGTATTTATGAAGAATATTTATTATAGTGTAGTGGTTATAGATAACATTTAACATAGCATATGTTGTGTACAAGGAGATGATTTGTTATAGTGTAGTATTTATGAAGAGTATTTGTCGCAGTTTAGTGATTATGGAGAGTATTTGTCATACTGTAGTGTGTCATAGTGCAGTGTTTACGGAGTGTATTTATCATAGTGTAGTGCTTATGTAGAGTTTTTGTCATACTCTAGTGTTTGATAGTGTAGTGTATACGAAGAGTATTTGTCGCAGTGTAGTGTGTCACAGTGCAGAGTTTATAGAGAGTAATTATCATAGTGTAGTGCTTATGTAGAGTTTTGTCATACTCTAGTGTTTGATAGTGTAGTGTATACGAAGAGTATTTGTCGCAGTGTAGTGTGTCACAGTGCAGAGTTTATAGAGAGTAATTATCATAGTGTAGTGTTTATGGAGAGTATTTTTCGTAGTGTAGTGCTTATACAGAGCATTTATCGTAGTGTAGTGTTTATGGAGAGTATTTGTCTTAGTGTAGTATGTCACAGTGTAGTGTTAATAGAGAGTAATTATCGTAGTGCAGTGTTTATGGAGAGCATTTGACATAGTTTATGTAGTGTTTATGAAGAATATTTGTCTTAGTGTAGTGTGTCACAGTGTAGTGTTATTAGAGAGTAATTATCGTAGTGTAGTGTTTATGGAGAGCATTTGACATAGTTTATGTAGTGTTTATGGAGAGTATTTGTCGTAGTGTAGTGTGTCACAGTGCAGTGTTTATAAAGAGCATTTATCGTAGTGTAGTGTGTCACAGTGCAGTGTTTATAAAGAGCATTTATCGTAGTGTAATGTTTATGGAGAACATTTGTCATAGTATGTGATAGTATAGTATTTAAGGAGAGTATGTGTCATAGTATAGTGTGTCATAATGTAGTGCTTATGGAGAGTATATGTCATAGTGTAGTGTTAAATGGTTTGTTTAAGTTAACATAGTTGTGATAATGAACCTTGTAATTAAAGTATTAAACTGTAATATAATGTAAGTCACTGCTTCCTCTTACATTATATGAAAAAGCCATTTAGAATCGGTGATAAGTTCATTTACGTTGATTTTTTGAATTCTTTCCCAGAATCTCACCTCCTCCGTTCCTGTAACACAAGTACGGAAACCTCCAAATGTTTCCTAGGCCTACAGCGTAACTGAGACAAGAAAGAAGAAACTCGACACCACTGGCCCAATTTCCACGTTCTTTGTTCTCGTCGACTTTCTCTACCTCCGAGATGACTAACTGTGGAACCGGGATACGAATGGTACCAATTGGAAAAGCGCGGCGAGCCTTGAGATGTAAAGATTAGGTAGCATTATTCCCAGAACTCTTATTATGATACTTTTTATTCTCTGGTTAGAAACACGATGAATACTGTTTTTTTAATTACACACAAATCCAAGTCATTATATCATGAGGATCATAATATTGTATTTAAGTATCGGTAAAATCACTTTGATCTGTATTTAATTTACAAATTAATTATATCTGTTACACACACTCTATGTAGATTTTCATGTAATACATCGAATACCTATTACCCACACTTTTACATCGTACTTTCATGCAATACAGTGAAAATCGCAGCGAAACGTTTCTTCCAAGAATCAATATAAAGTCGACTTCACAAGTTAGTTTCATTTAATACAGGAAAGATAGTAAAAAATACTGTTTAAGTTGGTTAATCATTATGATAAAATTACTAGCAATAACTTGCCACGTTCCAAGAATCAATAGAAGTCGACTTCACAAGTTAGTTTCATTTAATGCAGGAAAGATAGTAAAAAAAAACTGTTTAAGTTGGTTAATTATTAAGAAAAATTACTAGCAATAACTTGTCACGTTCGTTCATGCTCTATCTGACGATCGTTCATCTTGACAACAGTCCTGCAGCTTAGTTTCTATTAAAAATAGTTCCATCGTAATGATGTTACGTCCAAACCTTCTCTTGGCGAATCCAAAACCTGATATAGAACGTTTTTGATTATGTTGCCTGGAACACATAGACGGCTATTTGCCAAGATCTTTGTGTTCGTGGGTTTGCAACTGTTACGGCACACTTTACTTACCACATCTAGGGTATAGCCTATTACAGGTCTTTTTCTGTATAGTCCTGGTGCTCCATAATGATCTATATTCACTTGTTTTCGAAATAAAACTATTAACCAAAAATAATAGGCCTGTCTTGGAAATGCTATTACATTCTCTACAGTCGTGACTTTATATCGACTGCAGTTGTTACCTGATATGCTAAATTTGCATATTCAAAATCATTTTTATATAACTTACACAACTTTTAGAACAAATACTCGAGTATAAAACACACATTCAGAACAAAGATTCTAGTATGAAACAGACTTTCAGAACAAAGGCTCAGGTATGAAAGAGACTTTTAGAACAAAGATTCCAGTATGAAACAGATCTTTAGAACAAGAGCTCTAGTATGAAACAGATATTTAGAACAATAGCTCTAGTATGAAACCGATCTTTAGAACAATAGCTCTAGTATGAAATAGATCTTTAGAACAAAAGCTCTAGTATGAAAGAGCTCTTTAGAACAATAGCTCTAGTATGAAACCGATCTTTAGAATAAGAGCTCTAGTATGAAACAGATCTTTAGAACAAGAGCCCTAGTGTGAAAGAGATCTTTAGAACAAGAGCTCTAGTATGAAACCGATCTTTAGAACAAGAGCTCTAGTATGAAAGAGATCTTTAGAACAAGATTTTTGGCCACACACCATGTACCTCTCCTCCTCCGTACACCGTAACGCGTAAGAGGGTTAGGGCCATTTAATTTGGTATGGAATGAGCAGTAATTGCTGCACAACTATAATCTATATGTCATCACAAAGCTAATGCAGTTATCTTTTCTCTGATGTAATACGATTTAAGAAATAAGTAAAAAGTTTGGCCTTAATTGTGTAAAATTTGACTTGAGATATTCTGAGTAAAGTTTATAACTATATTTGAGATAGGAATCTTTAAAATATGTAAATTTTCTATCACGACCAAATGGCGCTTTATACAATATATATTCCCCATTGAGCAGACGGGTTTTACCATTGGTAAGTAATGTCTGGGATAGTTTCTATCCTGCTACTATTGAAATTACTGAAATATGTTTTATACCTTCACAAAACATCAAAATGTTAAATAAAGACAGAAAAGTTTGCTTTTTTCAAGTGAGAAAATGAGATGAAAATGAAGAGCAAGTGTAGAATATGTGACCAACGTGTTTCCTCCGTGAATACAGTAATATTGACAGAAAAAGGTGTTGAGGGAATTTTGAAGGCTGTAAATGAACGTAATAGTAGTGAAATAAGTGTGTGTGTTGGAGGTACATAAAGAGTGTCGTCGTTCTTACACAGACCTTAAAATAGTTGCTATAGAAATAAATCAAATAAGACATTTGATGACTGGCACACTTTGCGTTCAAGGGTAACAGTGTTTACTTTCAATGAAAATTGTTTGTTTTATGTCAAATACATAAATGAAACAAGGAGGTAAAAGTGTTACAAATAGTTTTATGTAGACATCTATGACAGTCACGCCTACCATGTCCATCTGTACCTCAATAGCTGGCCCTAACCTCATTGTCATTCTTGGGCCCTTCCTCTTTCTGTTGGGTGAGCTTGGCGATCTCAATTTGTGCTCTTAAACTCTCTATTTGCAGTCTCTCCTCTCTCTTTTCTTTTTCTTCTTTCTCAGTTTGTATTCTTATTCTTTCTACTTCCAGTCTCCCCTTTCTCCCATTTTCTTCTTTCTCTTTTTCTGCTCCTATTCTCTCTATTTCGAATATCTCCTTTCTCTCATTTTTCACGCAGACATGTTCAGTTACCTTAGAACCCCCTTTCACTTTAGAAATCGCCAGTTATGGCTAAGCTGACAATCTCGTAGTCTAACTTTACTTTTTTTTATGTTCACTAACTTACTTACTTCCTCTCTGTATTTATAATACGCGAAAGAAAAATCTAGAAATATCTAGCCCTCTAGTAACAACAATATTAAACATAACGATAAAAACTTCGAGTAAGATGACGTAAACGATATTTCAAAAGCCAAGTACAACAATTAAACTGCATACACAACGTACAACTTGTACAGAGTTACGTAACGAAACTTGTTATAACTATCGTTTTTAAAATAATTACCTTTGAAACTCTTGTTATGAAAATTATATAATTGTTAAATATTAAATCACTAAATATACTAAATAATAACTCTTAAACTGAACAGTCTTATATATCCAACAACGTGTCACTACATTTGCAGAGTTAGTTGTAAAGAGTTCTAGTTTTATGGGTCCTAAAATACTACCATCAACGTCTGGTGCTGCAAAATACCACAGCCTGAGAGTCTACTTGCAGATACAAGAGTTGAAGGATAATAATGTAGATCCACTGAAGCTTTCAGGTGTCATATTGAATCCTCTAAAAACTGACAAACCACCTGCTCCAGAAAACTTATGAAAATTATCTGGTGCACATGCAAGACAAGAAGTAAAACTTTAAGTTGCAGTTGCAACAAAATTGATTTCGAATGTAGTACAGCATGCAATACATGCAAATGAGTTAGCTGTGAACATTCTGTGCACCCAGAGATATATGATGACTAAAACATTACAAAAACACTTCAAGATCAAATTGATTGTTACCAGACATAATGGTATGTCTGGACTGTAATTTTCACGTATAATTATATAATCGAATTAAGTAAATACATTACTTAGTTTCAGCTTTTGTCCTTAAAATTGTGTATGCAACAGTGAACTAGCATACATGTATCTATGAAAAACAAAACAGTTCTTTTCGAAATTGTTCAGATAAATTCATTCTGGCCAAAAAAAATCCAATTTTAAATGTTGTTTTTTATCATTTTGCATCAGTCAAAAGACAAATGTAGTAGCTTTGCAATGACATATAAATTATAGTTTCTTAGGAATTACTTCTCTTTATATACCAAATTATCGGACTCTAACCCCCTTACACGTTACGATGCAGGGGGATACATGTCCTCATATGGCCAAAATTCATATTTAGCGTACAGAGGCAAAAGAGGATTTTTAATATATTGTTTGGAAAACCATTTCTATTCAATTATATTTTGGGTGTTACGACGACAGGATGACCCGACTAATAGTGTAACACATACTACATATACATTCCACTATACTGAATATTATTATGTTATAGCATAAAATAAACATACATTAAACTGAATATAAGTATTGTGTAACACATACTACACAAAAAATATCATTACATTCAAAATCAGTATATTATATTATATAACATACAATACATACATACAATTATAATGAATATCATTATTGTTTAACTTATACATACCATTACACTGAATATATATGTGTATTATAATACATACTACACAAACATATCATTACATTTAATATCAATATAGTGTAACACATACATACCATTACACTGAATATATATATGTATATTATCATACATACTACACACATATGATTATAATGAATGTCATTATTCTTTAATATATACATACCATTACACTGAATATATATATGTATATTATCATACATACTATACAAACATACCCTTACATTGAATATCAGTATAGTGTAACACATACTACACATATACTATTACATTGAATATCAGTATAGAGTAACACATACTACACATACATACAATTATATTGAATTTCAATAGAGTGTAACACCTACTACACATACATACAATTATATTGAATTTCAATAGAGTGTAACACATACTACACATACATACACTTACATTGAATATCAGTATAGTGTAACACACACTACACATACATACAATTACACTGAATATAAGTATAGTGTAACACATACTACACAAACATACCAATACATTGAATATCAGTATGGTGTAACACATACTACACATATACATACAATTATATTGAATATCAGTATAATGTAACACATACTACACATACACACAATTACATTGAATATCAGTATAGTGTAAAACATACTACACATACATACACTTACATTGAATATCAGTATAGTGTAACACATACCACACAAACATACATTACACTGAATATCAGTATAGTGTAACACATACCACACAAACATACATTACACTGAATATCAGTATAGTGTAACACATACTACACATATACCATTACATTGAATATTAGTATAGTGTAACACATACTACACATACATACATATTGAATATCAGTAGAATGTAACACATACTACACATACATACATATTGAATATCAGTAGAGTGTAACACATACTACACTTACGTGCAATTACATTGAATGTTAGTGTAGTGTAACACATACTACACAAACATACAATTACATTTAATATCAGTGTAGTTTAACACATACTACACATATACATACCTTTACAGTGAATATCAGTCGAATGTAATACATACTATTCAAACATACCAGTACATTAAATATCAGTATATTATAACACATACTATTCAAACATACCAGTACATTAAATATCAGTATATTATAACACATACTACACATACATACCATTACACTGAATATCAGTATAGTGTAACACATACTAGATATATCGGTAGTGCCACCACAGTGTTTAACACACTATATCTACCAACTCATAACATGTACTTGAAACTGAGAATTTGCTGATAAGTTTACAAACAACTATATGTAAGGTCAATAAAACGATTTATTTTTAGGAGAACATACTACACGTTTTAACAGAACATTGGTCTGTTTTTAATATCTTAAGAACTGCTACTTAAGCTACTTTATCTTCTTACCTTGTGGGTTTTGAAAATATTCATCTTAATTTTATCCATAGTAATGCTAGTTAGCAAATTAACTTGGCGAAACGACCGTGCAGTTCAAACCTAAATATACTCTACTCCTTAAAGTATCTACCACTTGGAAGTAAGCCACACTACGTATTCTCGACATCATTCCACGATTGGCTGCAAGATATCACACTGCTTTTCCTTAATTAGAAAAACCATATCGAAGACACATGGTCGCTATGTCAATTTGTATAAGTTAGGTTGAAAGTTTGTCCTCCAGCCGTTTTCAGTGGAGCTAGTGCACATACATGTATCTTTTGATGAAGTCATACTTCAAGGCACGACGTATTTCTCAACATCTTTCTCTTCTAGTTATCTTGAGGTCAGGATGTACTTGTTGAAGATTTCTTGATATATCTGAGGTCAGGATTCAGTTCTCAAAGACTGCTTCGCATACTTAAGGTCAAGGTATACTCTGTAGCGTTTCAGTCCTGGCTTGTCTGGTCTTTGGTGTGTCATTGTTTTGTGGTATTTGAATGCAGGGTACTATTTCTGATACGTTTATCCCCTAAGAGATGTGGACTTACATTATTGCCGGCATTTTCTTTCTGTTTTATACTTACATTTCTGTTTTTAAAAAAAAAAACAGTAAAACTACGTAGATGAGTGGTTTTATACAAAAATCAAACACTTGCGCGTGTACAGAATAACTGTTTTGAAGAGTTGGGATCGACGTAACGAGGATTAGAAGACATTTTAAGAATTAGTTAGATGGTGAAGAAATGTCCGTATTTGCTCAATATTTGTGGAATTTTACAATGGCTAAAACAGGTCAGCGTTCGTACAAAAATATTGGAATAGAAAATATAAAATAAAAGCTTTTACAGAATTATATATCAAACAGTATATGACAAAATACTACGTGATTTAGGTAGGTTAGATATATTGTGAACTGTCTTCCGTGTTTCAATTTTTTTTGTGTCGTGTGTCAATCTGTAAGAACCAGCTCTTAGCTAGATTACTCATTCTAGTTTCTGATAACCTTTTTGGGTGATACCAAATTGAACCCTTCCTGTCACTAGGCTATGTTAAAGTTCTGCTAAGGACCTGGTCAGTCTCTTAATAGACAAGACTGTTTGTTTAACACTCCATTGAAGCAAGTAGAATCGCACCCTCTCCAGTCAAGTAGCACCAAATCCTTTCAGACAAATAGCACTACACCTGGTTATAAGCTGGTCAGTCTCTTAGTAGACAAGACTGTTTGTTTAACACTCCATTGAAGCAAGTAGAATCGCACCCTCTCCAGTCAAGTAGCACCAAATCCTCTCCAGACAAATAGCACTACACCCTCTCCAGCCTAGTAGTACTACACTCTCTCCAGACAAACAGCACCAAATCCTGTCCAGACAAGTAGAACTACACCCTTTCCAGACAAGTAGCACTGCATCCTCTCCAGCACCATAGCACTACACCTTCTCCAGCCTAATAGCACTACACCCTCTCCAGCATCATAGCACTACACCCTCTCCAGACAAGTAGCGCCGCAACCTCTCCAACCTAATAGCACTACACCCTCTCCAGCCTAATAGCACTACACCCTCTCCAGCCTAATAGCACTAGACCCTCTCCAGACAAGTAGCGCAGCACCCTCTCCAGACAAGTAACACTGCATCATCGCCAGCACCATAGCACTACAGCCTCTCCAACCAATAGCACTACACCCTCTCCAGCACCATAGCATTACACCCTCTCCAGCCTAATAGCACTACACCCTCTCCAGACAACTTAAGTAGCATTACATCCTCTCCAGAAAAATAGCCCGAAATCCTCTACAGCCTATTGTGCTTGGGCTAACATTTGTCACAAAGGTTACTACTACGGTAATCTTGTCCCTTGTAATGGGTCACTATGAGATGTTTGAATTTGTTTTTCGTTTGGCGTTTCCTTCTCAGCCCCTTTAATTAACTACGTTTCGTAATAATCTTTGCGTAAAGTACTGAAGTACAGATCAGGGAGGTTTGTCAGTTTCGTCATTCCTTTGTGATATTCTCTCCTGGCCAATATAACATTTCTAAAAAA